CGCCCCGCGGGGAGAACCGGCTTGACCGAAAGAGCTTTGAGTCACCAACCTGAGGGACATGTCCAGCCACTGAACGGAGACGGGGGCGTGATCAAACCTGGTTCTACTTGGTGGGAGGTTAGGGGAGGAGCACAGGTCGAATGCACCGACGTGTGGCGGCCAGAGCTGTCAGCCTCCGTCAAGCTAGCCCTTACCTTGCTTCCCCAGCACCTCCTCCAAGAAGCCTGCCGCGGCTAGGCAGAATCACAGGGAGACTTTGGAAATACTCAGAAGCCAATAGCTATGTCCCTCCACCCCTGCCCCCTAACTTGCACCAGAAATGGAAAAGGAAAAAAAGGAAGGAAAGCACACACAGACACGCGCGCACACACACACGTGAGTGGATTGCGTGTTCAGAATGCAGATTGCAAGCACCCCACACTGGCATACCAAAAATGGCGTTGCTAGAGCCCACAGTGCTATGGTCTCAGGCACTATATCAAAGTTGGGGTCCATTCAGCTTTCTCAGATTACTCAGGACCTGCCCTTGTTCAATCCATGTGCCAGACCCAAGGGTATAGTTCGATAATGGAAGAGACGTCCTTTTTTTTTTGAGTTGGAGTCTCACTCGATCACCCAGCCTAGAGTGTAGTGGCACACTCCCAGCCACCGCAGCCTCGACCTGCTGGGCTCCGGCGACCCTTCCGCCTCAGCCTTCCAAGTAGCCAGAACTGCAGGTACGTTGCCACACCTGGCTAATTTTTGATTTATTGTAGAGACGAGGTCTCATCAAGTTGCCCGGGTGGGTCTCGAACCCGCGGGATCAGGCAATCCATTCACCTTGGCCTCCCAAAGTGCTGGGATTACAGGCTGAGCCACTGAGCCTGGCTGACACCTATCTTTAAAGGAAGTGACGTGGCCCATGACAAGTCAGCAAGTATCTGGCGAGTGAACATGCTTTCTGTGAGCATTATAAAAGATTTGATGCCTGTTCCACCTAGGTAACTCCTACATATTTCTTCGGTGCCCATCCATGTGTTACCTCTTCCAGGAAGCCATTCCTGATACTGCTCCAGACAGATTTATATGTCCATCTTCTGTGTGCCATAACACTTTATGAATAATCCTTTAGTGGTATTTATCACACTGTCATGCAATCTTTGATGTACTCATCCGTCTCCTGCATTGGGCTGTGTGCTCCTCAGGGCTGGCACTTGTCTTATTCATCTTTATAGCCCAGCACTTGCCCAGGGCACCCAATTAATGTTTGATGAATGTTTGATATGGTCATAACTGGGAACTACTCTTAACTCTAACCACAATCCTGTACTTTTGGACTTTATTTAGGGGCATGCTGAATATAACCATCAGCAACATCAGGGCATGTAGGGGGAGATCTTTCCTGGGGGAAAAAAAAATCCTGTGAGCTCTCCCAGATATCCCAAATGTTCAATCTGGAGGGCGTAAGATGCATAGATTTGGTTAACGGTGAAGCTAGAAACTGCCTGAAACATCATCTAGTCAAATCCTTTTGTGTTAAGTATGGGAAACTGAGGCATGGAGAAGGAAAGGGGCTGGTCACTGAGCTAGGTGGTGGCTGGGAAAAATCTGCCCACCCATGTCCCAGGCCAGAACTCTTTCCATGACATCATTCTGCCTCTGACACTGGAAGTTAACTCGGCCAACATACACAGGTTGATCCTAGGGTGCCAGATCTAAGCTGAGTCCAATCTCCAGAAGCAAGTAGAAACCCACAACACTCAACTCCATTCTACCTTCTCAGAACCTACACGTTTCTAGTTGAGAAAACTGGGTTTGACCATAAAGCAGAACCACATCAGAGCACAGAAGAGCCTCTAGGTGCCCCGAGCTCTTGAACTGGGGAAGGCTGGCAGATGCCTGGCCCATCACCAGCTGTGTGAAACACCTATAAGGCTCATTTCGCTGATAAAGTGCAGACCACCTGCCCAGCCCCTGTGATATCCAAGGATAGAAACTACCAGAATCACTGCCAAGATGCCTCAAGGGAAAATACCAGCAACCAGTGCACTCCCAGTACAACCTGAGCAACCAGTAAGGGCAGGCTGCTTGGGCTGAGTGGGTGGAAATAGGTGACAAAATGACATATATTTGAAAACATGTATTACACTGCTATCTCCTTTGAGCTCCTGTTGATCTCTTCACAAGAGTTTTGTCTTGTTTAATCCCTAATCTAACCTGAGCCTCCTTGGAACATTTACCTAGATAAGAAAAAGCCATGGTTGAGATTTTAAATGTTTTTTACTCTTGTGAAATAAGAAACCAGGTTTGAAAATATTTTTCTCACTGTGGTATATTCTCACAAGTGACTCTTTACAAGCTAGTTCTTGTTTGTCAATTCTGATCAGTATCAACTTTGCTGATAATGACATTTTAGTAAAACAGCTAAAGATATGGAGAAAAGGAGTAGAAAACTCAAAATAAAAACAGCTATTGGTTCAACCATTACCTGGAAAAGGAAAGAAGGGTTGATATGTTAAAATGAAAAACTGTACATGCTTGACAACTGAGTCAGAAATTTAGCTGTTTGATTGTTTTTCCCTCATAGCAAATTTATTTTGCCTCTTTAAAAGATGGCCAAGTGCCAGGCGCGGTGGCTCACGCCTTATAATCCCAGGACTTTAGGAGGCAGAGGGGAGAGGACTGCCTGGACCAGCCTGGGCAACTTGGTGAGGCCTCATCTCTACAATAAATAAAAAAGTTAGCCAGGTGTAGTGGCACACACCTGTAGTTTCAGCTACTTGGAAGGCTGAGGGGGAAGAATAGCCTGAGCTCAGCAGGTGGAGGCTGTGGCGAGTGTGCCACTGCACTCCAGCCTGGGTGATAGAGTGAGATTCTGACTCAAAAAAAAAAAAAAGATGGGTAAGCATGATAGCTCACGCCTGTGGTCCTAGCACTTTGGAAGATCAAGGCAGGTGGAATGCTTGAGCCCAGGAGTTCGAGGCCAGCTTGGGCAACATAGTGAGATCTTGTCTCTACAGAAAATTTAAAAATTAGCTGGTGTGATGGTACATACCTGTAGTCCTAGCTGAGACTGAGTCAAGAGGATTGCCTGAGCACAGGAGATTGAGGCTACCATGAGCCATGATTGTGATACTGCACTCCAGCCTTGGCAACAACGTGAGACAACAACTCCAACTCAAAAAAAAAAAAAAAAAAAAAACACAACAAAGCATGTGGATAAATATATCAGTAATATTTAGAAATTATTTCATACATATTGAGATCTTATGTTAATCACATCAATATTATTACGTTTCTGGTTTGATACCTGTGGGAAGCTAAAAAACAGTCCCCCAAAAAGCTATCTGTGTCAAACTCCTGGAACCTACGAATGTTGTCTTATTTGGAAAAAGGTCTTTGCAGATGTAATTAAGGATCTTTTTTTTTTTTTTTGAGTTGGAGTCTCACTCTGTTGCCCAGACTGGAGTGGAGTGTGGCCACTCCCAGCCACCGCAGCCTCGATCTGCTGGGCTCTGGCGTTCCTTCCGCCTCAGCCTTCCAAGTATCTGGAACTACAGGCGCGTGCTACCACACCTGGCTAATTTTTTGATTTATTGTAGAGATGAGGGCTCACCAAGTTGCCCAGGTGGGTCTCAAACCCACGGGCTCAGGCAATTCACTCACCTCAGCCTACCAAGGCGCGGGATTATAGGCTGAGCCACCGAGCCCGGCTGTAATTAAGGATCTTAAGATGAGAAAGCATCCTGAATTATCGGGGTGGGCCCTAAAATCAATGATAAGTGTTCTCATAACAGACACCAGGGAAGATGTAACAGACAGAAGAGGAAGTAATATGACCAGGGAGGCAGAGATTGGAGTGATGTAGCCACAAGTCAGGGAATGCTGGCAACCACCAAAAGAATGTAGCTTCTCCTTAGGGCTTCAGGAGAGAGTATAGTACTGGCAACCCTTGGTGTCCAACTTCTGGCCTCCAGAACTGTGAGAGTACAAATTTCTGTTGTTTTAAGTCACCTATAAAGGAATTTGTTACAACAGCCATGGAAAATTAATACAGTATCTATAAGAAAATCATAACTCAATGAGGACTGAAATAAATGTCCATTATTTTTCCTTATCCAATATCCATTCTCCCTTCTTCTGTTAATGGTCTCTTATGTTTTTCCTTTTTACAGCTACCCTCTACCACTCAGCCTGTGTGGATTGGGTGGGTTGCCCCCACCCCCACCCCAGTTCCACTGGGGGGCTGGGACGCAGATCAGCTGCTCTGACACTCATTCCCCTGGTTCAGGAAAGGACAATGACTCAGACCAGACCAGTGAGACTCCGTTTTTAAAAGATCCTAGAATTCTTGGAAAGAAACCCTTTTTCTCTTAGATGTGAAGCTGGCAGGGGATCATCTGGTGCTGCTGGGGTCCTCATGGGGGAGAGCCTTCCTGACGGTAAAACCGACACAAGAGAAAGTGAAGCCAGG